GTGAGCCCGGCTACGACCCTTGCTCTAGATTTCAACCAGTCATAGACCATGCAAATAGGCTATTCAAGCTATATTATGTCCCCTACCAGAAACTGAGCGTGGATGAATCCCTTGTCGGAACTAAAAAACGGACAGCCCTGACTCAATACCTTCCAAAAAAAAAACACCACCGATGGGGAGTAAAGCTATGGGTGTTGTGTGATGCCATAACACACTACTGCGTATGTTTTTTCTGTTATAAAGGTGCCAGATACACAACTGCTGACGAAAGAGCTGAAATGGAAAATAAAGGACTTGGCTACTATGTTGTCTCTACACTTTTGAAAATGGGAAATGTTCTGAACAAAGGATATCATCTTTTTTTAGATAACTTTTTCACCACCATTACCCTCGCCCGAGATCTCTACTCTAAAATGACTTGGCTAACCGGCACCGTACGTTTAGATAGGAAAGGCCTAAGAAAACCATTGCTCGGAAAGTATGCTGTTGGGAAAAAAACATATCTACGCAAAGGTCCTATTCTAACAATGGCTTGGCGTGAAAAGTCCAGTAATAATAAACAGTTTGTCCTTTTATCTTCGAACAGCTTGGCAAAAACCGTACAATTCACCCGTCTAAGAAACAAAAGAGTGCTGATAAAAAGAAAACCTCAAATAGTGCATGACTACAATATGGGCATGGGGGGGATTGACGGGACGGACCAAATGCTTTATACATATCTGGATGAGAGGAGAAGCATGAAAACAAGAAGAAAGTAATATTTAACGTATTTGCAAGGATGGTCTTGAACGCCTACGTTTTGTACAAGCTCAACACACCACAAAACAAACTCAGCCGCTTAGACTTCATTTCTTCTGTAATTGAGGATCTTTCGCTGCCATGGCTACAAAGAAGAAGTGTCGACATTGGAGGAGCTGGTGATGGCCCTAGAAGACCTGGACTTTCCAAGTTTCCTGAAGGGAAAGAAAAAAGTTGTAACGTGTGCAGCGGGCGAAACGACCCACAGGGGCGACGTCGCCGAACAAGAACAATGTGTAACAACTGCCATAGAGGTGTTCACCCTGAGTGTTACACAAATCACATTTGTAATTAGGCCTAAACATTGTAGGACTTTTTCATATAAGCTAGGTACCATAATAATGAACTTACAATTCCATTAATTTGAATTGTAGAAAAGGAGGATAGTAGCTAGCTTGCCTAAAAGTTGTAGATAGGCCATAGAACATACAGAAGAGAAACTGAACACACAATATTTTGTCCCCTGGGGGAATTCGTTAAAGGCCAAGTCACACCGAGCTCGCTCCCGCGGCGGGAGCGAATTTTGAAAAATCGCTTACCATGTTATCAAATGTGCCAAGTCACACCGCACTACCGCGCGCCCGCGGTAGTGTCCGCCACGTCCGCCTGCTGAGCGATTTTTTTAGACTACCGCGGCGGGAGTTTTGTCTAGCGCATGCGCAAAGGGGCATTTCGAAAGCCCAAGCTATTTAAAGTTTAAAAGAAATACAGTTTAATACAGTTTTAAATTAAATTTAACATGTTTCTTTTGTTTTATGATGTAGTCTATGTTGTTTTGTATTATCTTCGTAATTATGTTTATAACCAGAAAAATTAATTTTCATTTACCATGCAAAAATAACGTTTACAGTGAAAATTTAATGTTTCCCATGAACATTTTTATATTGCCAACGTAAACAACTTTTTTTATTGTTTCATCAACTTTTTCGATTTGCAACAACCAAAACTTTACAATCAATGTAAACTTGAACTTTCAATAGAAGGCTTAGCAAAAAATTACATTAGTTTTAAAATGGTCATATGTTTTTATTTAAAAAGTAAATAGTCTTTGTAGTGTAGCGAAAAATAACGTTCAAAATGCTGAAAGTGGATAATTTATCCTCAACCATATTTAAAATGCTTCGAACACAAGGTCTAAATTAATTTAAAAAAATAATTATTCATTTTTTAAAGTAGCCCTACACTAACAAATTAATAAACATTCAATTGCTTCTTAAGCACTTTACTTAAAACCTGCAAATTTACATGGCTTACTAAACAGGTAAGATGAGATTCTTATGTAAAACGAATTGTAATGAACTCATCTCAAAACTCCCGCCGCGGACGCGAACTTTTGGTGTGACATGGCTCGAGGAAAAACATCCGCGCGCGGTACTCCCGCGGCGGGAGCGGCGGATGTCGGTGTGACATGGCCTTAAGTGTAAAGAAAGTGAATCATCACTATCAATATCGTGTGTTCAGATTCTCTTCTGAATGTTCAATGGCCTATTTACATTCTTCTAGGTAGGTTGCTGATGTCCGTATTCTACAATTCAAAATCCTCGCATAGAGCTTTTCCCTGAATAAAATGTTTATACTAGGCTAGGTACTTTTTCCAATGGTTTTTTCTTACATTATAAATTTTTCTTCTCTCTCTAACAATTCAAATGTTAGTGATTTCTCAACAACCTGCAATAACTCTCTACACAAAAAAATAGCATTTTTTAAAGGTAGGCCTAATAAGGGCTGAGCCCATGTTACTTGGACAAGTTTCATTTGAAACCTCGTACAATGGTACGGTATGTAAGTTCGCAATCTTGTTTCCACATCACATTACACTGTATGTAAGTGTGATTAGTCAATTTTCTTTTGCATGGTTTGCTGTGATTTTGCATTGTTGCTAACTTATTGTTTGAATTTAATTAATAATTTTTGTTTGTACAGTAGTTAAGATTATAAAGGCTGAGCCCATGTTACTTGGACAAGTTTCATTTGAAACCTCGTACAATGGTACGGTATGTAAGTTCGCAATCTTGTTTCCACATCACATTACACTGTATGTAAGTGTGATTAGTCAATTTTCTTTTGCATGGTTTGCTGTGATTTTGCATTGTTTCTAACTTATTGTTTGAATTTAATTAATAATTTTTGTTTGTACACTAGTTAAGATTATAAAGGCTGAGCCCATGTTACTTGTTAAAGTTTTGTCTGTAACTGTAAAATGGTATGTAAGTTTGTAATCCTGTTTCTGCATGGTTTGTTGAGCTGAAGTAATGTATTATTGTTTTTAGGATGTCACTTTTCTAAGGTATGAATGGTGCATGGTTTGCTGTGTTAGTTTGCATTTTTGTTACCTAATTTATTGTCTGAAAGAATTCATATATTTTATTTTAGTCTAATTAGGCCAAAGTTGTTCCTTGTAAATGTATTAGGAAAATGAGTTGTTTTAAAAATTAATTTTTTTACGAAATAAAAAAAAATCTTTTTATTTAGTTTTTAAATATTTGTCCCCTTGATCTTTCTTTATTTATATAGCAATTTTCAATGGAAGTAAAGCTTCTCACTCATGATTCAGGAATTTGACTCTTTTATCTCAATTCATTCCAATGTTGTAAAAATTCCTTAGTAATCACTGGCAAAATCTCAGAATGTGTTCAACATGTGTTGAACATTTAGTGTGTGTATACTTGCATTTATTTTGGCATAATACATTTATTTATATATATTATTCAAAACTTGAATATTTACTGTCCTAATAGTATTGAAAAACAAGTTTGGAAGAAAATAAACTTGAAAAGTAGTTTAGACACCACGAAAATAATATATATATATATATACACATATATATATATAAATTCAATTATTTTTAAATAAAAAAAATTATAATTTTTATGTTTGTTATTATTCTCAATTGAAATGCAGTTCATTGCAAGTAAAATAAAATAAACAGGACCCATTTATGTCTAGCCATTCCAACTGTACAACAGTTTTAGCATATATACAAAAACGCTGATTTTGCGTTAGATATTTATCAAATGCACATTTTCATATATTTTGACACAGTAAATCTATTTATTTATATATAGTCTTCAAAATTGGAATATTTACTCTTATTAGAGTACTGAACAAGTAAATATAGTGTATGAAGAAAAAAACTTAATTTATATGATGGTTTTATACCCAAGAAAAAAAAATAAAAAGAAAAAAAAATTATTTTTATTTTTGACATAAAATTTTTTTTTTTATTTTTTTTATATACAATGATTGTATAGTTAAATACAGTTTATTACATGTAAAATAAAACAAACCGGGCCCTTTTATGTCAAGTCATTCAAATGTTATAGCACTTTTGGCCAATACATGCAAAATCACTGATTTTGCTCTGGCCATTTGGTGCATCATATGCATATTAGAGCTGGCCCGTACAGGAAGTCGTTGCATCTTTCGACGGCGCTCAAAGGGTTAAGACACTAAGACAATATTGATTTCTTGACTAGTACATTTCTCAAACAGTTATATCTACAATAAAAATATTATAAAGAAGAGGTGGTGTCTGTGTGTGTGTGTGTGTGTGTGTGTGTGTGTTTGTATGAGCTAATCTCAAAAACTACTGAACCTATTGGGCTCAAATTGCACACACATGAAGCTACAGTTCCGAGGATACATATAGAACTATTCCCGCTTCAATATTGTCCTAGGGCTCTGCCCCGTGGGCTTTCAAAAATCGGAGGTGAGAGATTTAAAAGTAAATTTTGATTGATGGTATCCATGACAACAAAGAACAAACCTACAAAGTTTAAAATGTAAACAAGCAGTACTAACTGTCAAATTAATTTTGATTTCACAATTCCATACAGCTGGTTCAATCATTCATTTAAATACTGCATGAATATTAGAACAGAGAGGGTAAGGATCATATTTAAAATAATGATGTCACTATCCTGAATGTAAACATTATTTAACATTACTTAAATGGAGCTGTCAAACCATACGCTAATGTCACTTTATACTTACATGCCAACCCCGTACGAAGGACGGGTACTCTGCTAGTCTACAATAAAAATTAATAAACTACTAAAGTATGATTTATTACATAAAATATTTCATAAAGATCATTCATTCATAATTATTCAACTTTTCAATATAAGATTTGGTTTGTTAAATTTTATTTAATGTCATAAAACAAAAAACGAATTATGAACTTGAATAAACATGAAGACTACCTGCATCTTTGAAGCATTTGATTGCCTTGCCGTACTGATGTGTCCGCACTAAGATTTTGCCAAGCTGAGCAGACAGTTTGGGATCTGATGATGAACTTTTCATAGCTTTTTCATATGTTTCCACTGCAAGCTCTGGTTCCTGCAAGGTTCAACACTTTTTAAAAACTAAAATTTTATGGTTTCATTTTTACAGAATAAAAATTGAACTTAGCCTAAAATAATTGTATAGTATTATATAACTTTCATGTTTTAATTAGTAGCGTTGAGTGCTTGTAATACTTAATTATTTCATCTTAGATTAATAAAATGAGGTATTATTAGGATATATTTGAACTGGACACAAAAAATAATTTCTGAGTATGACACAACTTTTACTGACGATTATTATTTTTTATTTTTAGTGAATTTTTTAGCGTCACCAGATTTGTCGCCCTGTGACTATTTCTTATGGGGGTATTTGAAAGCTCGTGTCATGTTCACAAACCACGAACATTATTGCAGCTAAAAGATGCAATCACCGAAGAGGTGAATTTGATTGGACAAGACATGTTGATGAGAGTGCGTAATGATTTTCTCCAGAGGTTGGAAACCTGTATCCAGGTTAACGGCCATCACATGCATGATATCATCTTTAAGAAATAAACCCAAACTAGGATAAAAGGTTCCATAAAACATATGTTTTTTGAAATGGTATGTTTTCACCAATATATATTCAACAATTAAATAATTGTACTATATAAATTAAGGGTGTACTATTCATTTAAAAAACGTCCGGTTCCCGGCAGTCACCCTGTATTATATAAGTTGTACGGTTTTGTTCATGACCTGGGTTGGATGATTATTTGGTTATGATCGACATAGTAATAGGGCTATCAAACAAAATACACAAAATAAGCTATATAAACTGAATATTTTTGGAATCAGCACAAAATTTACCACAACTTTACAATTTGCCTTATGATGATAAGTCTTACATGCACTTAGCTATACGACGGAATATAAAAACATTTTATAAAAAAATTAATAATGCCTACAATTTGGGAAAACTAAAAAAAATTTTTGTTGTGGTAACAATGTAAACCACCTATATTATTGTTCTTTGTCTTATTCTGAACAAAATGATATACAACAATCCATAGTTATGTTGCTATTTCTAATTTTTATGATGGTTAAAAAATGATATTACATAATCAATAATATCCCTATGCAATACTATGCCAGTACAGCGTTACACTAGTGCCAGCTCTAGGGTTTAAATGCCCATGTTATTCTTATGGAGAATAAGTAAACTGATGTAGTTTATGAACATATTTGTTTATGAACATATTTTGATCAAATTTGGAAAATGTATTCATTTCATACTAAGCTATTACATTCTACAAAAAACACCTTTTTACCCTCCCTGTTGCAGCAAACCTAAGTATTCGTTAAACTAATGTTATTTAAATAGGGAATAAATGTGATATTTTTAAGGAGACATTTTAGTGTAAATACAATCAGGCGAATGGAAATTTGCTTAGTCTGCAGCTTTGCTGCGGCGGGGGTATTTTTTTTTTTTTTTTGTATTTGATAGTTTTGTTGAATATATATAAATAAAATTAGAGTTTTGTCTGTACATTGCTCAAAATTATAAATTTTTTGGTTATTTTTACGTTTTATACATTAAAGAAGCCGAAACAAGTCTCATCTCTATTTCTGTCTGTCTGTCTGTCATGGCCCAAGAGGCATTTTACGCGGCCTTCTCTGGAAAAACAAGAGTACCTATTAAGATCCAAATCATTTTAATGTATTCACTGGATTGGCGAGAGTGTCTTTAGCCATTAAAATATGGCCTCACTACTTTGTAAATAAAATGGCGGACGTTTAAAAACCCAATTTCGTCTGATTTTTGTCAAGTTTTCTCCCAATGTCTATCATATAATCATCTATGAAATAACGAGCAGCTGTCCGGATCAAGATTATTTTTCTAGCTGTCACTGATATGTTAACATTAAATGTTGTTTACAAATAGCCCCAAAAATTTTCGATCACGTTTTGAAAACAAAATCCAAACCAAGTGAGATTAAAAATTATTTTCTTTACATAAAGGATTTATGTAATCGCAAGTTCAATAATGTGTATTGTAACTGTAAATGAAATTAGAGATTTGTTGTGTATAAAATTGTTCTGAAGTTTTGATAACTGGGAAAAACACCTTGAATCAGTGTTGTATCACTTCAGTGTTGTATCTAGGAAACTTACATTTATTAAAATCATTGTCGCCAATAGCTTACTAACAAGGTTTCCACTCATTGACGGCGTTTCGATGGCGGTTGTGTAAAGTGTAAATCACAACTGCAGTGGGTGATTGTAACAGAGATTTACAGATGATGCTAAACTCGCTTTTCCAATGTGTTACTTTCGGTTTCTACTCACCGCTATGTGCTGCAATGGCTGGACCATACAGCCAATAAGCCCGTAGCCTGTATTTTGGGTACGTAGGCCTACCCAATTATTCATAACAACCTATTCGACGATGATCCTCGATACCGGTACTTTTCTCTAGAATACATGGACTACCTACTTAGGAAATTAAATTTAAAACGTTCAAAACCCCAACATTGTGTGATTTTTTCACATTTACTACATATACCAAACATCGTTTAGAGACTACGTCATCTATTAAATAACACAAAGTTGTTTGGATAAGGTTGTTTTGTTTAAACTGTCACAGATATGTTTACATTAAAAGGTGTTTACAAATGAAAAATGCAATCAATGGGAAATAACTTTGATTTCCGATAACTTTTTGTGAGAAAATCCAAAACCAAGAGAGATCAATAACTTCGGGACTTGATTAACGCATTTAATTGGTTGGATGTACTAAAGTTCTTAACTATAACATTGGTTTTTGGTACTGGTTCTTTTCCTTCAGTGGTAGCAGCAAAAATCATTTTTACATACCAACACTTCACTATTCATTTTCAAATTAGTTATCGTTGGTGTTGCACCTTTTTTATTACAGTCGTATTCAATTTAATTGATGTCTTACTGTAAGTTTTGCTTTTTCTGTCTATATTTCAAAATGTTAGTTTACCAATCAAAATCGTCTTTAGTACTTCATTTGGGAGTGTTGCTGAAGGTCTAAGTCCCGGAAAGTCTAATAAGACCTTCGACACACATTTTGCAGTTTGTACTTGTTGCTGAGGGTCTAATCTGGGAGTATGTCGAAGGTCTAAGTCCCGGAAGATCTAAGAGTACAGTCAATGCAAAAAACTCATCCACTGATACTGTTTTAGACCTTGCGGGATTAGACCTTGGGCACACAATGTAAATTGTGTAAATAAATATTTATAAAATGAGAGTTTCTGAAGGTCTAAGTCCCGGAAGGTCTAAGATTCGAGTCCCGGAAGGTCTAAGATGCGGGCGGCATTGCTTCGCCAGAGATGAAGGCTATACACTATACAGACAGGCAATAACGCAACAACTTTTAGAGTTGTAATATTAGTGATAGTTTTAATACCTCTCACGTCTATTTTTTGCTAGCTTGTTATTACGAGTACGATGGAGATATAAAAAAATCTCCATTTATATTATATCATTGACTATTGGATACTTTAATTTTTGTTACTGGCATAGTTGCTGGGCCACAACAGTTGCTATAGCTCAGAATAAATAATTACATCAGTTTAAATTGGCAAAAAAAAAACACCTTGGTGTTCAGGATTCTGATTTGTTTATTTCAGCTTAACTTAGCCAATCAATAGTTTCATCTTACTAATATTATAATTCTAAAGATGTGTGAGTTTGTACGTGCGTATAAGCACAGAATATAGAACCTAAAGTTTGGCCGATTCCGAGGCGACCGATGTGATTTTCCACCGTGGGTCCGAGGTCCCTGCTGGTTTTGAGGTCCTGGTGCGGGACCTCGGATCCAAATACAACCGAAAACGTGTTCGATGCCAGAGAATAATTTTAAAATCAATATTAAGTGATTTTGAGCGAGACCTCGAAACCCTAATAGAAAGTTTAAAACATTTTCACGGAATTTCCGATAGGAGCGTAGCGATCGTTTTTACTTGCACACAGTGTGACATGTGGCATAAAATGACATTCTCCACGGGAACCGAGGTCCGTATCCATTTCCCTCACACATAATGTATACACCCTTCAACTGGAATCAGAGGCTCCCCATTAACCCCCACCACTCACCAAGATGACATCGTATTTCAGATTATCCAGATTATGTTAATCAGAGTATTTGTCGGAAAAATATAATGTGTATTGTGTAACACGAGCGCAAAGTGCCTTTGCTGCACTCGAGAATCTTTCCACAGTCGCCTGCGGCTCGTACGTACACATTTCTCTCATGTCCAGCAAAGTGCCACTTGGCACACTAGTTAGATAAATACCTAAACTTAAGGACAGATTTTAGTAGGCCATAAGTTGGCTATAACTATAAGCTTTAGTTAGTGCCTATCTATAATCGATGATAGTGTAAATGGTTTAATGCAGAAAAAAGATGTTTCTGTATAGTAATCAGTGGCCAATATAGTACAAAGAAATAATATAATATGAATCACCTTTTCCCCTTTATATATGATACATTATTTGTACTTGTAGGCAGTTAGCGTCCATAATCAACGGCAGTACAAAAGGTTTTATGAAGAAATAAAGTATATTCCCGTATTAAAACTACTATCAGACAGTATGAAAATGTACTATAGATTATAATTAATGGCAATACTCTCAGTATGGCACTTAAATGCCTACCTACAAGTTCACCCAACACTTCAAAGAGGGTCGTGGCATTACCACGTAGATAAAATCAATTTTTTATTGGTGAGATTTGAACCCATGATCTGGAACTGTGAAGCCCCATGCTCTACCATTCGACCAGCTTGCTTCCTAGTCTCACCTCCACATCCTAGGACACTATGTTCTAGGCCAGAATGGTTTTACACATTAAGTTATCTGGTTAGTCCTAGAGGGTTGCGGCATTATCACGTAGTTAAAATGCATTGGTTATTAGTGAGATTTGAACCCGTACTCTAGGACTCCGGAGCCGGCCCATGATGTACTACTAAACCAGCTCGCTCCCCAGTAGATATCTAACTAAACGTTTTAGTTAAATTTTATCCTGGATAAGATCTGAATAAAAAAAATTGCAAGCGTAATTTATTATCAAAGGCTTCTTTTAAATTAAAATAAACCCATATAGTCATAAAACTAATGTCATTCAAAAGGTTTTGCAGTTACTAGATGTTACACGTAGCCTACATGTTTACCTGGTTATATATTACAATTAAAAAAAAAAAAAAGTTCGCGCTCAATGAAATTGTATAAATTATAGGCCTATAAATATTTGAAAATAGCCACTTTGTTCTAAATTTTATGAGGATTACAAATATATAATCATATAGTGAGGTAAGTTATCAAATAAATAAGTTATGGGCAAAAAACCGATTTCGGTACATAGTGTTTAGCTAAGAATGCATAGCCTAACCATAGCTAGGAATCTGGCTGATAATTTACATCAATATCACTACCTACTTCTTCAGGATCATCAACCTGCCCTTCAAAATCACTTAAATCTTCTTATAATGTACCACGTATATCACTACTTTTGATTTTAACACTAAAACAATGATAAACGTAATAAAAAACATCAGTCATCGGTGCGAGGTTAACCAAGCTGTTTACAAATACGCACGTCAGCTGTCTGCTACAATATTTTCGGAACTAAAATGAAGAAACAGACATCAGGAGAAAGCTCTGAATCTGCTGGAAAGAACGATACCTAACTCGATCCAGTTCAATCCGATTCAGTCAGTCATAGAGCCTTCGCCGTAAACAATGTTTGTGTGTCGAAAAATCGACAAGTGACACTACACAAAGTGTGTCGTGAGTCGATTTTTCGACAAGTGACACTCGGAGGGTTAAAGGTTTATTGTACACTTTTTTTTTAAATTTACTAACCTTTATATTTAAGATTTATTTGTAGTGTTTAGTCAATATTTTGTATGAAGTGGAATAACCTCAACGGTCACTCTTAGGAAACAACCTGGGAATAAAGATGAAATAGGTTCGTAGAGTTATTTGTTGATTAAGTAAATAAGTTACTATCACAAGTTCCAATGAGTGGAGAAAAATATTGTTTAGAAGAGATTTTAAACAGGTTTTTACTGCCTGTTGCTCCAGGCAAAATAGGTTCAAATAATATAGCGTACACGGTAGTAAAGGGAGCATCCATATATATAACAGTAAAACCTAGAGGTAGTTTCCGTTTCTTAAATATAACCATAAATATGCATGTCGAAGATACTGATGAAAAGTAATTTCGTGATTGGTTTCGATAACTAGGTAATGTAACCGTAACCAGTCGCAAAATAGTTAGCAATCAGGCGTTGATTTGGCAATTTTTTTATAGAATATGTAAAGTCAACCGCAACATTAAGGAGGAATATTCCCACATAAACTTACACTAGGCTAATGGTAGTTTTTAAAATGTTGATCAGAAACATATATTGGGTTAAGTTTGGTAAATGGGATGTCTTTACTTTGCACTAATTTTGTTAAACCTTTACAAAAGGAGCATAAACTTAGACATAATAACTGGGTCGGGGTGCTAATTTAATGGTTTTGACCAAGAACTAAGCTTATTTCAACACATCTTTATTTGCCTTTTCACTTTTGACGAAGACAGTTTCCAATATTTCAATCGGGGATGCCTTTTTATCCTCATTAACCAAAAGACCAAAGCTACCTTAATAAACCAGTATTTATTCACAAACAATTATATGTGTTGGAAATCGAGTTATTTTTTATAGTACAAATTAAAAATTGATCAACATCCAATATAATTATTTGTTAGGCTTTGTTTTTAATTAACAGATGGTTTATTTTAATTTATTTAAACAATTGAGAAGAGTTGTAGTAAGAATTTAAAGTGATGAAGAACAGAACAATACAGAAAAGATGTTTTAAATATTGTTATTTATCAGAAAAAAATCAGTTCTTTATTATTTAATAATTGTAAAAGTTCTTTATTTTACACGAGTTCTAACAATATGTTTGCTGCCTTTAGCAGAGAATCCTAAGGAGTGGTTCAAATTATTTATAGAAAATAACATCAACAAAAGCAAACAAAGACAAACTAACTGTTTTTTTATACAAAAGATATGGTGTACGGGATATCTATTCTGACACATAGATAATATATTTCTGAGTTTGTTTGAATATTGGAATAATTTGTTTTACATTATTGAGCTTTTTAGGGACTTATGCCACTAGTTATTTAATTAATCACCTGAATGGCCATGTAAGCATCACCCAGCAGAATGAGGTTCTCCGTGGATGGTTTCTGACTAACCAACTCCTTGTAACATTCAGCAAATGCCCTCCCATCTTTCAGCTTGTGCAGATGAATCTCTGCCATCTTTTTCCGAGCCTGTTCAACATTTTCACAGAACAGAATACATACATGATGTAGGGGCAGACACGTGCAATACAGTCAAGTAGACATGCCTTCAGAGGGCTTTGAAACTCCACCTATATATTGGAGGCAAAAGTTCATTGCCAGTTCCAATATACGCCTTCTGCTGTGTACAGCTTTGGGACAAGGATGGTTTCCATATTGTCCTACATTGCAAGGCTGCATTTGAGAAACACCTTTAGAAGTAAGCGTAAACCCCTAAAATGTCTTCTTGGGAGGCTGAAAAGTCTGGGAGACTTAATTGTATGCTGTTTTTTTTCTTTTCGTTTTTATAGTGGATGGGATACCAGTTCAATGTTGGAAGTTCAAATAGGAGGGAGAAAAAAAAATTAACTCGATAGAGATGTGGATTTAAAATTTTGTTTGACGTCAATTAAGATTTAAACTGTCAGTATGTTACAATTGTTCTTGTAAGTAGACAATTATTTTTACTGTTGTGAAATCGCAAGTTATATGGCATAGAAATAAAAAATCTCAGTAAGTAGTATATAAACTATCAAGTAACGTAAAATGTAAAAACTGTTTAGAAAAATATACATGTATTTTAATCAATATGATATAATTAGGGATGGACGGGTCCCGAAATTTCGGAAAATTTTCGGGAAAAAATATGAACCATTTTTGGGACGGGATTACATTTGATTCGGGAATTTTTGATCCGATTGTTGGCGATTTTGCCGCTTTGCAAGTGACAATGATGCCGCTATTGCAGGAGATGTTCACGATGAACGCAAGAGGCGAAGTCATTTCGACGATCGTGCCGTGACCACAAGTCATTTTGACGATCGTGCCGTGACTACGAGTCTTACCGACGATCGTGCCTTGACCGCGGAGTCATACCAACGATCACCCGCGAATCATACCGACGATCACGCCGTGACCGCGAGTCATACCGACGATCACGCCGTGACCGCGAGTCATACCGACGATCATGCCGTGACCGTGGAGTCAAAACGACGAACGCACCGTGACCACGGAGTCAAAACGACGAACGCACCGTGACCACGGACTCAAAACGACGATTAAACTACCGCGAGTCACAAGTTTCTATACCTGTAAATTTTTACCCAATTTTTTTGTTTTTATAGAGTAGTACCACAAATGCTAAAAATTGATTTTGTTTGTCTTTTTAGGTAACTGCAATACTCAAGACTTGCTTTTTATGCACAGGAAAAATTCCTGTCCCGTCCCGTCCCGAACTAATAATTCAATCCCGTCCATCCCTAACTGTAATTAATTGGAAGGATATCGTGTGTTGCCAGATAAGTACCACTAGCCATAGTTGTTAGGGATCTGTGGGCCAGACTTTTTTACAGTACTTCATGTGGTCAATATTAGCTTGCTTTGGAAAGTATTGATTAAAAAAAATATATTGATTATTTCTTGTTCAAAAGGCCAAATGAGCGAATTTCCCATAAAGGGAATAAGCTATTACCGTAGGTCTCATGGTAAGACCTGGACCCGGGACCGATTTACTTTTTTGTTTTGAGGTCCCCAGAGGCCATAAACACCATCCGTTCAAATTCATATATATATATATATATAGGCTATATATATAAATAATTGAATACATTAGTACCCTTTTAAATTCATTTTTAATTAATAAACGACATGTTTCGACACTTAGGTCATAGTCATGTTTACATTTACAAATACAATAACAAAAATAATGAAAGGAATAAATAGTCATATATTAAGTTAACTTAGAATTTAGAGGATCTTGATTTAATCTTTGTTTAATTTTGCGTATATTATATAATATTTCAGATTTATTGCAACTGTAGGATTTTTTCAAATATCGGATTTGTTTTATTTATGTTCATGGTATTCAAAAAATTTTGAGGGTATTTTTTGTAATTTGTGTATATATGAAAATCTTCTTTGACATTTAATTTTGTTTTATTTCTTTCATATTCTAGAATTTCTAAATTTTCGTACTCATGTCAAGTTTCGATTAGGTGCTCTGCAAAATTTGATTTCATTGTAGTTTTGTTACCTGATTTTAACGCTTGTATCTGTTCCTGGAACCTTTTCTTAAAGCTACGACTTGTTTTATATATATATTGAAATTTATATATATACTGGCTGTAACCCGCGGGCTTTGCCCCGTTTAACTTCTTAATTTTCAAGATGATCTCGTTCGCATGGCTCAATCACATCCTGGTTGAAGTTCCTTCGCTACGCTCACTCATCTTTAGGTTGGAGCTCGTTCACTACGCTAACTCGCCTCCAGGTTGAAGTTCGTTCGCTCACCTTTTGGTTGCAAATTAGCTGTTGTCATAAATGTAAAAGAAATAATAGTGCTGCACCCTGTTGGTAATCCTTGTAACTTTAATGCTATTGAACATCATAGAACAGAACCAACTTGTTTAATTGAAACAGCTGTTAAGATTCATTAATTCCATTTCTCATAAGGTTAACATGGGAAACTCCAGAGCCACTGGGGCAGAGTGATTGGGCGGATCACGAAATTGATGGTGTATAAACCTATTCCATGAAATTCTACACGTATGTACCAAGTTTCGTGGCAATCGGTTCAGCGGTGTCTGAGTTTATCACTGCCAAATATATATATATACAAACATCCTCTTTTATACTTATATAGATACTAGCTGTAACCCGCGGGCTTTGCCCCGTTTAACTTCTTCATTTTCAAGATTATCTCGTTCGCATGGCTCATTCACGTCCTGGTTTAAGTTTGTTCGCTACGCTCACTTGCCTTCAGGTTAGCTCGTTCGCTACGCTAACTCGCCTCCAGGTTGAAGTTCGTTCGCTACGCTCACTCACCTTTTGGTTGCAAATTAGCTGTTGTCATAAATGTAAAAGAAATAATAGTGCTGCACCCTGTTGGTAATCCTTGTAACTTTAATGCTATTGAACATCACAGAACATAACCAACTTGTTTAATTGAAACAGCTGTTAAGATTCAATAATTCCATTTCTCATAAGGTTAACATGGGAAACTCCAGAGCCACTGGGGCGGAGCCCGAAAGGATTTTTGAAATAAAAATATGCCTATATGTTAATCGGGAATGTGAGCTATCATCATGCCAAATTTCAGCCCAATCCGACCAGTATTTTTCACGTTCACTTGTCACAAACATACATCCATACATCCATACATCCATACATCTAAACTTTCTCATTTATAATATTAGTAGGATGTGTGTCCGTCAGCACGATAACTCGAACAATAATTATCCGATTTTGATGAATTTTGGTATAAACGTGTAAACCTACATTTATTTGAACGAGTTCGCGAACCAGCATGATCGGACCATGGAAACGGGGGTTTGTAGGGGGTTTTATGGGGTAAAAATGGGTTTTTCCCATTTTTGACCCTAAAAACATAAAATTTTGGAATTTCTTTCCCAACCATTTTGTATAGCTTAAAAAAAGAAATAATTTAGTATATTGAAGCAATGTTGTATGCCTAACGGTCACAGAGAAAATAAAAAAATAGTGTAATTTAAAATTCCTATGTTATTCTTATGGAGAAAATGAAAACTGTTGTAGTTTACTTGTTTATGGATATATGTTGATCAAATTTGGCAAATTTATTTATTTCATCCTATACCATTAACGTTTTGTAAAAAAAAAACACTGTTTACCTTCCCTGTAGCAGCAAACCTAAGCACTCGTTAAATCTAATGTTATTTAAATTGGGAATAAATATGTCTTATTTATGGAAATATTTTAGTAAATATGTAATCAGACAAGTTGAAATTCGCTTAGTCTGCAGGTTTGCTGCAGCGGGGATATTTAATCTTCTTGAAGATTTGTATAGTGATTATTAATGAGAAATTAAGAGATGTGATTTTTTGTTTGATACATAAAATGCTATCAAACAAAGAAGGACATAATGTAAAAACCAACAAATAAATATGAACTTAAAAATGTACAAATAATTGTATTTTTTATCAAAACATGTCATTATAAAAAGATTAATAGGAAAATGAAAATACCCCCACTGCACCAGACCTGCAGACAAACGGTGGATTACATACTACAAGAACACAAGTCAGAGATAAATCACAGTATACAAAAAAATTAAAGCATTAACAAAAACAATACCCCCACCGCAGCAAACCCTGTAAACTAAGCAAATTTCCATTTGCCTGATTGGATTTTAGCTAATTTCCCCTATAGGGAATAAGCTATTAACATAGTACTCATGGTAAGACCTGGACCCAGGACCGATTTACTTCTTTGTTTTGAGGTCCCTAGAGGCCAAAAACACAATTCGTTCCAATTCATATATATATATTTATATATATATAATAACTAATCATAAATACCAAAACATAGAAAATAATTTTATCAGTAATTGAATTTGAACCAAACAAAGACAAATTATTCATAAAGGAAGAATTCTACATATATAGCAACCATAAAAAATATCCTGAAAACATACTCAATACAATGCAAATCCAAAAATGAAACATAATATATGAAAAAATCTTATACAGGGTGGAACGAAGTTAGTGTTAAAAATATTTATCTCTTAAACTACTAAGTATTGGTGACAAAATGGCACCAATTTAAGTCATACCCTCACAGGTAGGGAATAACGGACAATTTAAGATTTTTTCAAAATATTTGTATTTGCTTACATAAAATGGCAATAAGTGCACTAAACATTGTTTTTATTCCAAATTCATTGTCATTTTTAGAATCCTCTTTAAATTTCCAATATTAATAGTACAAATTCATTGGGATGAAACTTCTGTATAAGCCCTTATTTGGCAATGGAAGTTTGAATTTGTGATTTTTTAGAAAAAAGTAATAACTTTTTCCAAAGTTTTTCTATACTACACTGGACTCTAGAGAGTGTCAATTGTTACTAAAAACTTTGGAAGTTTATAACTTTTAAAATGATGTTTGATTTGTCGTTCTCAAATTTAAGTTTTTCTTTAAAAACACGGAACGGCTAATGTTTAATTTCCTGTAAAAAA